TTAGCTGTCTTTGTCTTATGCAGCCTTGAAGGTGATTGGTTGGACCGCGTGAGATTACGCACGGGAGTAGGCACAGCCGAGACTAGGCGTGTTAGCAAGTCGCGCCCGACGTTGAGCGAGAGGTTGACTCCCCAGTCTCGCCAGTAGCCGCAGGAAGGAGGACCTGGCTGAGGACGGCTAATAAGCTAGTAATGACTATTTCACTTTCCCTTGTCTTTTTTCCGCAATGTTCATCTGCCTAAAGACAAGGTGTTGTCCTGTTTAATGTCCTAGGAAATTAATGCGCGCGAACTCGGAGTAAATCGTTCGGAAAGTGAAATGAATGTTTGAGTTGAAACGTTCCAGCTATTGTGGAATAAGCGCATAATGTTCACAATCTGTTAGCGGGCAGTCTGGATGAAATAAATACCTAACTCATTTGATGCAGTTGTGAAAAACGTTTGCGGCCTCGGTGGGATTCGAACCCACGTCCGCGAGAACGAGGTTTAAGTACGGATAGCGCTCTTACCACCTGAGCTACGAGGCCCCGGTCGGCAGCCGGGTGTTTAATCCCACTTCAGTCAAGCTACCCATCCAGTTTGATAAGCTGACTGTCGAGGCAGAATTTCCTAAGCAATCTACTTAAAATCTGTTCTAACCTTGCGTGTTTCTGTATCAACACCAGTTATGTTCCACAGTCACGTGTTAGGAGGAGAAGGCAGAACAGGATAGCAGATAGTACTTAACTGTTACTAGTTCTGCTTGTACATCAGCTCTGTTTCCTGTGTGTCCAGCAGCTTGTCTTCTGTGTCAATCAGCAGCTTGTGTTCTGTCGTCGTCTCGGCCAACAGCGTTCCGTATCTGCAGCAGCCGTGCCCCGGGTCGCTAGCAGCAGAATCTCGGGTCGTCGGTAGCGCATCTCCAGCAGCAGAATGTCGCCTTCAGCGGTGGCAGCATATGGAAGGGCCAGTAGTCATTGTTCCCTATTGGCTCTCCACGACTGGTCTCTACAGACAGCCGTCAT